AAAGCACATATGGGTCTATTCAGATGTGCCACATTTGATTAAACTTTTGAGGAATCATGTATTAGATGAAGGCATTATCTTGCCAGGAAAAAAGCATGTGAATAAAGATGTTTTTCTAAAAATATTATCCTTGGATAATGGGGAAATAAAGCTATGTTCAAAACTGACACAAGCTCATGTGGATGTGCATGGAAGAGAATGTCAAAAAGTTAATCTTGCTTGTCAGTTATTTTCAAATCATGTCGCTCAAGCAATATCTTTCCTTCTACCTGATGACCAGGAAATTTCTGATTTTGTAAAACTTGTTAATGACACTTTTGACATCCTCAATTCAAGAATCCCTAAAATTGATGATCGTCGAATTGCTAGTGCCTTTGGAATGCATACAGAAGCCCAAGAACAAGTACTACGCAAATTTTATTCTATTTGTAAGAATATGAAGTAGGGAAAAAGAACACATTTATTACCATTTCAGAAAGGTTTCCTTATGTCTATTCGTTCACTCCTCTGCTGCTATACAGACCTTGGTAAAAATTACAATATGAAGTACATTTTAACTGCAAGATTTAATCAAGACTGTTTAGAAAATTTTTTTTCTNAAATACAGTATAGCCTATTTTTATTTATAGTTAAATAAAAGAACAATCCACTTCCAGCTGCATATCTGATGAGGCAGAAGAAACAAATATACTGTAGTAGATGTACAGTATATGATGATAATTAAATGTTTAATGAAAGTATTTCATTGTCACCATGTACAGTACATTTGATGCACAGCGACCAAAAAAGAAAAAGAAGATGGGATGAGAAAAGAAAAAAAATGTTTATGAATGTGCAATGAATGTAAGTTATTTCAAAATGTATACTGTAATTTATTTATTTATAGTTTACAACTGAAAGTGAATAACTGTAAGGAACCAAAGTCCGAACGTTATTTTTATTTACTTTTATTTTGCTTATTATTCTATTTTTGTTGGGGCTTATGTTTTGTTAGGACGAAGGTTTCCTCACCATTCACCTTACTAACTTAAAAACAGAAGAAAAACCAACTCACCGACGGAAGAAAAGCGCCGTAGAAAAACTCGCGCACACTTGTGCTTCCCGAGCGAAAAAAAGTAAGTCCGCACCGAGAAAAGGGGGGGGAGACCCCACAAGCACGAATTAGGGACTCACTAAACCTTAAAGAATAAAAACGTCCTGAAAATTGTGAAAAAGAATAATGTAAAAGGTTAACGAGTAATTGTCGTAAATAGGCTGCCAGAGAAACGAAAAAGTTTATTGTTAGCGTTAAGTATGTAAATGAGGAGAGTGATCACATTCAGAATTGTGACGTCACCTCACACTATAAATCCCGAGTCTCAAGTGAAGATGAACGAGGTGAATTCCTGATAGCGACAAGCTTTGGTGAGCTTAGGTAGCAGTGAACGAGAGAGGTGTCCGATAGGATCAAATAGTTCCAAGGCGGTTTTGAAGTTATTCGATTTATGGATCGACAATTATAGAAAGTCTTGAGAGTTTGAGGAAATAGGTTCCTAGTATATTGAGGTGACGATTGGGATCTTTAATTTATAAGAATTATTGTTTATAAGTTTAAGTCTTTGATTTTTGTCGAATTCCAAAGGGGAATAGAATTAAGTTAGATATAGATTAATTTGAGTTTTGTCGGGTTGATTCTTATTGAATTTCATTGAATAAATTATTGTTTGATTTTTACTAAATACTGTATATAGTTTATTACTAGAAGTTTAATTAAATATTTGATTTTGTTATTGACAAACTTTGTCATTATTTAATTCGGTGCACGCTTAAAGTCCAGGCCTGTTAAACAAACAAATGTTTGTGGAACCCTTAGTGGAATACCTTGAAATCTCAACTGTGTTTTTGCAGCATGGGCGCAACTGGCGCCAATTCAACTCTTAACAATAGAATCTTGAGGAACTTTCTCATTGACCTTATTCTTATTTTTGTGCATGTTATCTATGTGGTAGCAAGTCCACTTGACCTACTAGAAAATTAAAAATTATCACCTGACTTTTGTAGGTCAAGGATACCCTTAAATTGTGAAGTGAAGTGACAAACAAAAACAAGGAGTGGAAGTAGGACAAAAGAAACAGAGGTAAGAAAAAAAAGGGAAGAGAAAGGGAAAAAGTGATATGAAAAAGTGACAACTTGAATGTAAGAAATAACATGAAAGGATTTGAAAGGACATAAAAGAACATAAAAAATGTAAAAAATTGAAAGGACAGAATTCAATGACAAAAACTTTTTGAGGCTTCTCAGAACCTCCCTGTCGCATAGTGTATTTTTACGTGGGCTACCACAATTTCGCGACGTTTTTGTTTTGTGTGTATTGTTTTATATTATTCTTGTGATTTGTAAATGTTTTATCATTTTTTATTTGTTAATCTTAATTTAATTTTTTTCTATATAATATTTCAATTATATTTATTCACTGTATTCACTTTCTTTGTTTCTGGATTCACTTGGCTGTGTGTAAACGGCACGCAGTATGTACTAATGTTTTGTATGCTTCATTAAAAGAATCTGAATCTGTCTATTAAGATTATTTATTAATCAGAACTTGACACTTCTGATTAATAAACAATCTTAATTTAGTGTCTATGCTTTTAATTATTAAAATGATAGTAAATTATATGTATAAATTCTCTTTTTCGATGAATTAAATACAGTCGACCCCCTATAACACGGTAAATACGTTCCGAGTTTTATAAATCCAGCTTTTAGAAGTCCAGCCAATCACAGCCTCGCACATATGCAGTTTACGGACTACGGCTGTTTAAAAGGTTTCTTCCATAAAATTAATCAATTTTAGACTAATTCGACTCAACATTTTTTAAAATACATATAATTTTTTGAGAAAAATCCATATAAACTATGCTATAAACAAAAACTTGTAGGATTATTTACCGAGTGTGCACCGTTCGACTACGCCGTTGCTTAAGCTTGTTTTTGTTGTAAACATTGTCATCGAATGGTGCTCGCGTGCTCCCTGATAAATTATTTTTTTTGCGAAAAATTTGAACTTTAGAAACATCATTAATATAGATATAATTTTTATGAAAATTAAATAATAAATGGTTTTTAGTAGGTCTGCTGCTCGTTTAAANATACTCAGGGAAATGAATAATTGATGTCATTATGGTCCTATATTGGTACAGATGAATAGAACATAACAGAAAAGGACAATATTCTGTTTGTGGAATTTCAGCATTACTTGGTTACATTCCACAATCCTTTTTATGAAAATTAAATAATAAATGGTTTTTAGTAGGTCTGCTGCTCGTTTAAACTCAACGGTTTGTGTAATCCTGTCGCGACACGAGTCGGCGATGACGTTTTACCGAATTATATGTTTTTTTAGCGTGTTTGTACGAAAAACTGTCGCAATTTTTTCGCCGTGATATAGAAATACGAACTATAGAAACCCGTGTTATAGGGGGTCGACTGTACTTCTTTATTATTCGAAAAATTTGCTATATAATTTTATCAATTATAAATTAATTTTTTTTATTAATACAGTATTGACTTGACACGAAAAGAAATGGCATCCACTCGTGGTCAAAAAATTTGTTGCCTTCTCAAACAACGTCTTTCAGCTTTCTAACTCTTCTATAGCGATAAGAAATGCTTATCTGTCAGCCATTTTCACTTTCGTGCAGCAATATCACATGCTCGACTCAACGTGAGTAGCAACTTACATGATAAGAAAGGAAGCACGTGAGTTAAAACTGGAAACTACAATCTAACGTCAGAGTGTGAGATGGTACCACGTGACACCTTCAATACGTTGGAAGTTGTACGTATTACGTATGGTAAAATTAATTATTAACTACTTCATGACATACCAAATAATATTTTGTTTAAAAATATTTGTTACATATAGGCCTATCACAAGTATGGTTGAATTTCTCATTATAGATGATTTTATGAGCTCTTAAACATTTTTTTTCCTTTGATTTTAAACCTTTTGTTACATACCTGAGAAGAATAGTTACGTTCATCAGTATGAGTTTTATGATGGGGTTTTAGTTGTGCTTTCCATTTGAAACCCTTATTACAAATTTCGCATTTGAAAGGACGTTCTTCACTATGAATATTTTGATGGGTTTTTAGTACACCTTTGTGATAAAAACCCTTATTACAAATTTCGCATTTGAAAGGACGTTCTTCACTATGAGTTTCGTGATGCTCTTCACTATGAATATTTTGATGGGTTTTTAGTACACCTTTGTGATAAAAACCCTTATTACAAATTTCGCATTTGAAAGGACGTTCTTCACTATGAGTTTCGTGATGCTGTTTTAAGTCATTTTTCCCGTTTAAAACCCTTATTACAAATATCGCATTTGAAAGGAAGTTCTTCACTATGAGTTCTTTTATGGCTTTTTAGTAGCACTTTTAATTTGAAACCTTTATTACAAGTATCGCATTTAAAAGGACGTTCTTCAAAGTGAGTTTCTTGATGTCTTTTTAATTAATCTTTCCGTTTAAATCCCTTATTACAAATATCGCATTTGAAAGGACGTTCTTCACTATGATTATTTTGATGTCTTTTTAGTGGCTGTTTCCATTTAAAACCTTTATTACAAATATCGCATTTACAAGGACGTTCTTCACTATGATAAATTTGATGGCGTTTTAGTTGTTTTTTCTGATGAAAAGTTTTTTTACAAATATCACATTTGAAAGGACGTTCTTGACTATGAGTTCCTTGATGCATTTTTAGTTCCCCTTTCCTTTTAAAACCCTTATTACAAATATCGCATTTCAAAGGACGTTCTTCACTATGAGTTTCTTGATGAATTTTTACTTCCATTTTGCTTTTAAAATTAAGTGCCAAATTATTATGTTACTCAAGGGATGTATTATTAGAAAGAACAGAAAAAGCCCTCACAATTTGGATTGAGGAACTAATTCAAAGAAGAATTCCTGTAAGTGGTTATTTAATCCAAAAAAAAGCTCTTCTGTTTTATAAGTCAATGAAAGAGTCAGAGCCATCAACTTCCACTTCCCACGCTGGTAAAGAATTTTCAGCTAGCAAAGGATGGCTAACCGGGTTTTTAAAAAGAAATGCACTTCATAATATCAAGATTACAGAGAAGGCTGCATCAGCAGATAAAGGAGCAGAAAAAAAATTTCCACAGGAGCGAGCGAAAATTAGTGAAGATGGGGGCTATTGTGCCGATCAAGTATTTAACGCTGATGAGGCAGGACTGTATTGGAAAAAAATGCCTAATCATACTTACATCACAAAAAATTAAAAAAACTGCAAGTGGACATAAGCAAGTAAAGATAGAGTAACATTATTACTTTGTAGCAATGCATCAAAAGATCAGATGTTGAAACTGCTCATAATAAATCAATATCTTAGACCATGTGCTCTAAAACGAAAGATTTAAAACAACTGCAAGTGCATTGGATGGCTAACCCGAAAGCCTGGGTGACAACAGCTATTTTTACAGAATAGTTCAATAATTGCTTTGTACCAAAGGTGGAAGCCTATATGAAAAAAAAAAAAATCTCTCGATTTTAAAGTTTTATTAATTATTGACAATGCACTAGGTCATCCACAGTTAGAACATCCAAATGTTCAAGTAGTATTTCTTCTGCCCAATAAAACAAGCCTTATTCAGCCATTAGATCAAGGCATAATTGCAACTTTTAAAAAATATTACATTAAGCGAACTTACCAATTCATCTTGAGTAAACTAGAAAATGAGTCCTTAACAGTGAAAGACGTGTGGAAGCAATTTCCTATTTTTGATTGTTTGATTAATGTTGCATCTGCTTCCGCTGAAATAAGACCAACAACTTTAAATGCCTGTTGGAAAAAGGTTTGGCCAGCATGTGAAACAAGCAATACAACCATTCAAACATCAATACTATCAGATAAAATAATTACTTTGGCACATGAAATTGGCAAAGATGGTTTTAATACCTTCAGCCATGATGATATAGATGAATTGCTTGTGAATGATGCCTTAAGTGACAATGATATTATTGATCTAACATTAAATGTCATTGTAGGTCTAGAAGGTGATAATGATGAGGGAAAAAAACAAACCCCCCTCACTGCAAAATTAATTGGACAAAAACTTGAACTTTGCAGTAAATTAGAAAATCATTTTCTTATTAATGACCCCAATTCTGAACGAGCCTTTAAATTACAACAAGAGCTGCAGAACTGCATGTCTGAATATCGTGAGCTACATAAAAAATTAGTAGAATCATCATCACAAAGTTTAATTACTGATTACATTGTCAGAAAAGAAAGAGCTACACAGAACGAGAATAAAAGTTTGTGAAAATCCATTGCCTTTACCGCAAATATCTATTGCAGAGACAGTCTCTTCTGATGATGAAAGTGATTTGGAACCACTTCGCAAACGGTGCAAACCATTATCAGATAGCGATAATGATTAAAAAATGTAAAACTATATTACTTTTCAATAAAATGAACTTAATTAAGTTTGAATACAAGTTTATTTTAAGCTTTTATATGAATTTCTTTCAGACATTCAAAGTAATTTATTAAGCAGCCTATTTCTTTTAATTTCTGCAAACTTTTTTATGTGGTTTTAAGTTAATTTTAACTCGTTGTTTTGGTTTTATGCGATTTTAAAAAATTACATTACTTTCATTGAAAAAGTAGGGATACGTTAAGTCTTTTTTTATGCGAATTTTTTATATGCGCTTTTCTGTAGAACGTATCCACCGCATAAAACGAAACCTTACAGTATTCAGAAATAAACAAGGTTCCCCTCCTCAAAAACAGAACTCCACACATATTCAGGAGACATCGCGAATGAAACTTGCTCTTCTAAGGAGGAGGAGAGAACCCGGTATTTACGCACTTCTAATAACTTAATGATTTTTCTCTCTTATATTTGACAGACGAAATCATGGCGGAAACTTCCAACAATGGAGAATGCAAAGCCCGAAGATTTGGGGTAAATCCCGCCGTTATGCGGGCTGCCCTGCAGTCAGCAACTCAAAATCCCCAACCAAGGAATCCAGAGCTAATCATCTTGCCCCACAGCCTCATAACCAACTCAGAGTTTTGACCCTGCCCCACCAAATGGCATTACAGGGTAATCAAAGAGACGATGTCATAATCATAGGCCGGACCATCGCCCAGTAGTCACCGAGCGCCGAGACGATAATAGTCAGCCCCAAGAGTAGTGCTAGGGCTCTGGCTCTGGTTCCGGCTCGGGTCTAGGTAGCAAAGGAGTACCGACCCTCATTGCCTTCATCACCTTCCTTGCCTTCATCACCTTCCTTGCCTTCATCGCTTCTCGGGTTTAACTCACATACGGACATGCGTTTTGTTGTACAGAAGTACTGTACATATTAGAGCCCTACCTATAAGGTACTCTATCGAACGGGCGGCGGGGCCCACCTCTATGTAGAGGGAGCCCAGTGAGGTAAATACGAGGCATTTGCTATCTTATAGATTTAGGAGATCAATGACGCTTTCCATCAATTCCTTTAGTTTCTTAAGGTTCCCTTTACTAGCTGCTAGCGTTCGAAGTACTTNACAAAAACTTGGAAGTAAAAACGAGTTTTATAAAACATTGTAAATGCTAATAACAAGTAAATTATTTATATATTTACTAGACGTTCCTACTGATACACGACACGTATCCCTTTCTATCTCCCAACTTCCTCGACATTTATCACCAAAATTTAATTAATAGCATCAATCCCCCTAATAAACAAACGTCTCTGAAAATTTTCGGAAATTTTAGACAATAGATACAGGTGTTATTAAGTTATAAAATAGTTAAACAAAAGCATGCCCACCATATTTATACCTACAGCAAAACACCCCCATTTTTTCATTTCTAAACGTTTGAAGATTCGCAGTGTACAAAAAATGTAAAAAAATTTACAAGAGAGTGATTTTTGACTCATTGCGATACTTCGTTATATGTAACAGCCGAAAAAATAACAATTAATACATACAAATCTGGACAAAACGGACATTTTTCAAATCGGAGTACGGATTCGATAGCGTGCGAGTCCTGTTTATACAGGTGTTACAGTCATTCTAAAATTAATAAACATTATGTAAAATAATGTTTACGGAGACAAATTTGGCTCTTGCCGTCTATTTAGTCAAACGTAGCTTTGAAGTAAATTATTCACAAGCTTTTAAAATTTAGAAATAAACATGTTTTGTGTATGTAAAGAGAAATAACATTTATCACTACGATTCTTGATAGTGAAAACGAGGAAGCGTCCTCATTTTTCACGACCCGACGCTATCCAAATAAAATAATGGCGGAAATAATTGGATAAGTTAACCAGCCAGCAATGTTAAAAGTTAAAGTAGTGTTGACTCGACTAAAGAAACAAAATCACAAGTGTTAATCAGTGATTGTGGCTTCACACTTGTGATTTTGTTTCTTTAGTCGAGTTAACAATAGTCGAGTTAGTCAAAAAATAGTCGAGATGACTGTCGAGTCAACAATTGAGACATCTCTTCCAACGATAAGAGAGGTTACTTGGTAACACATATCATTTTTTTAGTCATACGTGTTACAATGATAATAAGACTTACACAACCTGATTATCAAAGAGAGCAACGTTATCTGGTATCCAAACCAGTATAGTTTCACATTCAGTTTTGGTTTTGCTTTCTCGGTTTAATTGTTTTGCTCTTTTTCTTTATCAGTGACTGCAGCGAGAATATAAAATCTTGATTTTTGTAATTGTCCAGTAGTGGAGCATATCGAAAACATAACAGGACGAAGAGTACGGGTAATTAAAATGTTTTAATTATAATATCTACAACATAAGTTATCAATACTAATCAGTAATAAGAAAAATTAATTTCTTTTTCTATCATATTGTATTTTAATTTGTAAACAAAATAAGTATTTGTTAAGGAACTAATTTGAATTTTTTACTACAAGTTATAAAAACCGCCACATGTCATCCTGTTGTATAGAACTGCCATTATTTTAAGGCTATTTTATAAGGTCTTTTACTTTGTGATCAATTACCTGCAATTTGATTTTATAGCCAAAACTTTTTTAAATTGTGTTGATTGTAGATAGGATTTTAGCAAATTAAAATTAGTTTTTCCATGCATAATAAATTTTGGTCAATGTCGAGATACGTATACCGTCATGGCGGCTCATCTCTGATTCCAGCAAACAAAAGGAAACAGTGGGGACACACGTTCTAACTTAACTTAACCTATTGTAATAATTTGGTTGGTAATAATTATGGTAATTTATTAGAATAGGTTAGGTTAGGTTAGAACGTGCGTCTCCACTGTTTCCTTTCTTTTGTTTGCTGGAATCAGAGATGAGCCACCATGACGGTATACGTATCTGGACTTTAATTTAAATTTTTAACGCTATCTCGTAATTTCTCTGAAATATTATGAGTAATAACTTTTTTACAGCATCCTTGTTCTGCAGTCAACACTTTCTTGAGTACTTAGTATGATTTTGTTACGCTTTTTTCACATTTTAATACATTTCTTATTGTCAGTACATTATAAACACTTTTCGTATATTTCTAAAATTATCATTATTGCTCTAACACATACTTTGAAGCACCAATCAACATCGGACACTTAAATGTCCTGCTATCAATGCACCTGCCGTTTTCCCACAACGACTTATTGATTGAACACATTCAGGTAATACTTATCAACAACAAAAAGGCACCTGGTATGGATCACATCACTGGAAAAATGGTCAAAGAGGTGTTCCTCGCCATTCCAACGACATTCGTTACACTATACAACTGCTGCCTAACTTTGGGTTATTTCCCTCGTTATTGGAAATGTGCATCTGTAAAATTTATTAGGAAACGCCAGAATGAAATCCCACAGTTTGCGAAAGACTATAGGAATTTCAGCCTGCTCTCAATCATGGGCAAGGTTTTGGATAGGCTTGTTATTATCAGGATCCTATCCTACCTAAAAAGAAAAATGCCCTTAGCCACCATCAACATGGCTTTACTCCTGGGAAGTCCACCACTACGGCTCTTACCAAGATTACAAAGTACATCACCCAGGCTAAAGCTGAAAGGAAGCACACGCTCTTATTCTCGATCGACTTCCGTGGAGCCTTCGACAACCTCTGGTGGCCCACAATCCTGCAACAGCTCCAGGTTCACCACTGTCCTCGAAACTTATTCCATCTGATCAAAAGCTTTATCAACGACAGGAAGGCTGGCCTTTTTGTGAACAACATCAATCACTGCCATCATGTCACCGAAAGCTGTCCACAGGGGTCAATCTCCGGTCCGGGCCTATGGACTATCGTCCACAGCGATCTGCTATCTAATATTAATGATGATAATGACAACAACCATCTTATTTAAAGCTATGCTGATGACACAGTTATTCTTGTCTCTGACAAGAACTCTGGCAATTTACCCATTCTCAGTAATAATCTCCTAACAAAGGTCTTCAGCTGGAGCGACAAAAACAAGCTCCCCATCAATTATTCGAAGTGCTGCTATATAATTTTTTCCAAAAACACTACGCTACAGTGAAGCCCACGCATTGAGATCAATGGTGTTAAAATCTCTCGTGTCAAGGAATTTATATACCTAGGTGTTAAACTCGAACAACAACTACAATGGTCCAGCTACATTGACATGGTGGTCTCGAAGGCAACTAAGGCATCAAACGCCCTTATCTCCATCGCTAAGAATACCTGGGGCATTGGGTACAAAGCAGCCAAATACATTTATCTAGGGGCAATAGAACCCATTTTGCTCTATGCGATCTGGACGGGGGCTGCACAGAAGGTTCACATTCAAAGGAAGCTTTCTAAGCCCCAGCGCATTGCAGCTCTTAAGATCTGCAGGGCTTACCGGACGGCCCCGACCTCTGCCCTTCTGGTTATTACAAGTCTGCTTCCTGTCCACATAAAAGCCAAAATGGCAGACAGGATTTGGAACATTAACAACTTATGCACCAGCAACTACCTCTGCAACACCAATAAGAATAATACTATACTTTCTGATCTCCCTGAGCAAGTAAAGGAAGATATCAAATCCTACGGTATCGAGGTGAAGGATGCTAACTCTAATATGACGGTAGGCTACCCAACCATCAGCAGTTACATCCTTCCTCATGATGATACCTGTGACATCTCCATCTACACCGATGGGTCCAAGGACAACGAGAATGTGGGGGCAGCTTTCGTTCTTATTAACCATCAAAACGGCGACACTCATAAATCTGCCTTCAAATTAGGTCCTCATTGTTCCGTCCCCCAAGCGGAAATACTTGCTATTACTAAGGCAATCGACTACGTTTTCACTGATTGGTTCCCCCGTAACAAAACCATCATCGTTTATACCGATAGCATCACTGCCATCCACTACATTACTGGCCTCCGACGCAGAGGCGATAACGTTCTTCGAATCCATCGTCATCTTGCCTCTAATCC